CAAAATGCTATGTGAAATGAATATAAAATATATTAAATTGGTAAAAGGAAAATATTTTGTTTTAAAAATTTTCTTTTATTCAAATAAATAAATAAATATCACTCCCTTAAAACATATTAAAGTTTTTAAATCATAGAACATTTTTTGTTTACAAAAAATATTAACATATATTTTTGTAACTCACAACAAATACATTATATAATAAATTATATATAAATATTTTTTTATTTTAAAACTTACAACAATATATTATATAAAAATAGTTAAAATTATACAATTATACAATATATAACAATAGAATATAAATCATATATATTTGAAAAAAATTGTTATATTTTTATAAAATGAAAAAATACCCGCACGGATGTGCGGGTTCAAAATCTAGTAAATATTTAAAAGAATACGAAGGAAATACGGAAAATGAGATTGTTGGGTGATGAGTATGAGAGGTTGAAAAGCGAAGATAACATGATTTATTAGGACGAGAATAAATGAAAGTTCAAGAAGTTTTGCCCAAGAATTTGCAATTTGGTGTTGTGGGCTCCTTTAGAGGACAAAACCAAAAGTGTGTTATGACTCCATTACTATTTTATTATGTAGTATATTACTATTCTTCTGATTATTAATTTTTAGTATAGTGATTTAATACTCGTTTTTGGTCAGTCTAATGGTCATCGCCGACGCTCAGTTAGGCGATAATTAAATTGATTTTTACATTAATCATATTTTTATTAGCATTACATGATTTATATGTCAGATGTATATTTTTGAATATTAGTTTTAACCTGAACCAAATTCCTCCTATCGATCCTATTATATATATGTTTCTTCCTTGCCTAATCAATTTGTTTGGAAATTATTAGGTTAAGCAAAGAGCGACAACCCACCTAATATCTATAAAATACAACATTGCATGCTCGTAACTTGCAGTTTATTTCGATAAAACTTGTTGATTAAAATTGTTTAGTAGGCTTGTTTAGTTGTTAGTTTTCCGTTCCGTCATGAATTATGTACAAACACAATAATATCTGTGTGGTGTTCGCGCGCAAGTATATATACCATGTCTCTGTCAGTTACCTGCAATGTCATTATTTTTTTTAAATGTCATTATTTTTATTTAATTCAAACACATGTAAATTTACATAGAACACCTAATTCACAATCCTGAATAATACGACCTGTATTTTTAGTAAAACAAAAACTAAGTGCTGACAAACAAATAAAATTATACGATTTATTGGCATGATCAACGTTTGTACAAATATAATAATTTTTCTAACTTGTTAATAACAATTTTAAATTTAAACTGTGTATTATCTTCTATTTATTATTTATACAAAAATTGTATCTTTGATTCGGTTATGAAAAAGGTAAAAAGCAAATTGTTGCTTGCATATGTGCTTTACCAAAAAATTAATATTTTCAAACGATTAAGGAAAACGATTATTGTATGCTAATAGATATTTCCCAACAACAATGAACAATTTATACCAAATTAAATTACAATATTGTTTGCTACTATGCTAAAATATGTCAAGTCACATAATATAAGCTAATCACTTTTTTGTTGAATATATAAATACGAAAAAGTTGTACAACACCTTGTAAATATTTCTATCTCTTCTTTTGAATTTTACTGTTTTCCTATAGGCACATGAAAACTTATCTACATCCTTTTATTTCTGGTTTTACTGAAAAACACAAAGAGCAAACAAATGGGATTTATATAGAATTTTAATATAACTTTTTTACTATAAGAAATATTTCAAAATTTTAAGTATAAGCTTAAATAAATTAAATGCAAAGGAATTTAACTGTAAATATCTCTTTTCCAACTTATACATAGTTACTATACATAAAGATTGAAATTTGATACTTACAAATAGTTTGCCTTTCTTATTTTCATTGGTAACATTTTTTATATAAAAACTATTTAATAATCGACGAATCTCTAGAAGTATAGTATGCATCTAGAGAAATAAATATATCCGTTTCCAACAGAAATTAAATAAATATAGATGCGGTTCAAGTATTCAAACACTGGGTTTATAATAAATGAGAATCATGCTTTTACTCTGTGCATTATACAAAGACTTTAAAGCCTTCCCTAAAAAACCTCCATTTCATTATATTCCTCCTTCCTCTTCACCTCCACAATCTTTTTGTAATATTTCTTCAACAATAAAATTACATTCCCCAAGCAAAGTTCCAATCTTCAAAACATTCAACACCATGTACATATCTTTTCTGTGATTTTTATACATATTAAAGATTCTCATTAATTAAGAAGCTTCCTCCCTTTTTATCTTCTCTTGTTCATGGAGGTTCAAGCTCATCACCATCCTTCTACTATGTTCTTCCTCAACAGGTACTCTCTCTATATATTCATATGATGTATATATATTTATTTATTTATGCGTATGTATTCATATGTTTGATGTTTCGATTTCTTAGAAACGGACAAGAAGAGCTACAAAGGTCTCAGTTTCCTTCCATCACAAACGGTTTGACTTCTAACTCCAAATCGATTGGTTACCATAAAATCATAAGAACCGGTTATCTCACGGTTTAACGTTTGTCGGGAAAAACAGGGGTTAGTACAAGAAAGCGAGTTAGAGAAGTTTCATCAGTGATTGATTTAGAAAACACGGCGGCTCCGATGAACCCTCCCCCGTATACTCCGCCGCAAGTTATCAGCCGTCGACAAACTCCTAATGTAGTATCCACCGGTCTTCGTTTGTCTCCGATGATAAACGGAGATATCACCGGAGAAATCAAAGGGCAGTCAGATGAATTAGATAGATTTCTTCAAACCCAGGTAACTATTTTTTTTTACTGAAAATTAACATAAACTACCGTATAAGCAAGTTTTTTTACTAAGGTGAAAATATTTTTACAGTTTTTTTTTTTAATTTGTAAAAGGCCGAGCAGCTGAGGCGCATGTTAGCGGACACTAGTGAAAGACACTATCGTGAGCTAATGAGAATAACGGAAGAATCAGTTTCGCAGAGATTAAGAGAGAAAGAAACGGAAATAGAGAAAGTCACGCGTCGTCATGCAGAGCTTGAAGCACGTGCGGCTCAGATTGAAGCGGAGTCACGTGCATGGCAGGTGAGAGCAGCGAGTAGAGAAGCGGAAGCGACGTCGTTACAAGCTCGACTGCAGCAAGCTGTTGCTCATGATGACATCAGTGTGGATGAAATTGAAGCCGAAGACGCTGAATCTGCTTACATTGATCCTGACCGATTCGAACTGGTCGGACCGAGTTGTAGGATTTGTCGGCAGCGAACAGCGACAGTGTTGGCTTTGCCTTGTCGCCATCTGATCCTATGTAAAGGATGTGATGGTTCTGTGCGAGTTTGTCCGCTTTGTCTTAGTTTGAAGAATTCAAGCGTGGAGGTTTTTTTTTCTTGATGAGTTTTTATTTAATGTGTCTAGTAAACTTCACGATGGTCCTTTTTTAATTGAAAAAGAAATCAGTATAATTAAATTCATTTTGAGATAATATATAGTCAGAGCCCGCTTAGCATCGAACTAGGGAAACATCTGTTTGTGGCCGTTTATTCACATATTTCATATTGTCTCTTTGATTTAGTGGCAATGCACACAACACTCACCTTCTTCGGGTCACGGATTCTACCAACAATGGTCATAGTATCGGCCAGGTTTTTTTTTTTTTTTGCTTCCAACCTTAAATATTCTACGATCGGCTCTGTTTATAGTTGAGTTAGGTTTCTTCATACTTTTTTTTGTGATGTTCAATAAAGATGAGAGGTTGATGTTCATGTAGATGTACATAGCCACTAGATAAGGGTGAAATACATCATTTTATCTTTACACATGATGAAATAAAAATTCATGAGTAAGAGTAGGATGGTAGTGTTTTACTGATGGATTTTGGAAATAAAATGATATTTTCTTGGAGCATGATTGATGGACTGATGAGAACGAGGAACACAAGACGGACTCAATCACCCAAGCACTCAATTTGAAGTTCTCTTTTCGGTAGAACATGTAAACTTACAGATGGTTTCATGTGTATATAATATTGTTCTTTGTTTCAGTGGATATATTAAAGTTTCAAGAAATTCAAGATTCAATGAAGTATTATTTCATCACCATAAATTCTTGTTATGTGAAATTTTTTTTTTAAATAAATAAACCTCAATAGATGAATAGATATAGAGCTGCCGGGTCTTGATTTACTGAAGACTATGAACTAGCTGAAAAGTCTGATAAAACTAAAGATGATTTTTTTTTTGAATGACTAGGAAGTTCTAGATTCAAAGGTTCGTAGAATTTTTAAGGAAAAAACTATTCAGTTAACTTTCTTTCAGAAGAATCTAACATGCAATCTCTTAACTTTTACTAGGTGATTTAATTAAGAATTTTAATGACTATATCAATTTTTCGTTGATAACTAAACATCAATTATACAATCTCAACTGGAAAACTACTATTTGTAGAAAATATGAATATAAATTTCTACAAAGAACAAAAATTTCGATAAATTTGTGAGACCAAGATTAAAAAGTGTGATAGACAAAGACTTTAACGAAGAAAGGTAGATTGTGTTATTTTTATTTGAACTGAAGAAAAGGTAGAATTATTCACATTTGAAAATGGTAGAATTATTCACATGTGAAGAAAGGTAGAATTATTCACATTTGAAAATGGTAAAACAAAGGGGTCATTAAGTCGGTAAACATGGACTGCTTTTGTCTTAAATCAAGGAAAGTGGAAGACCAACTCATACCTGCATAAATTAACTAAAATGATAATTATTTAGTCCTTTCCTTGTCTCTCTACCCATATGCTAATAACTTAAACTAGTTATGCGAATAACTTAACTATTATGTTCTTATAATAAAGTTGTACCCATATACAATTTTTTTTTTTATAATCCAGGTATCCGGACCTCTCACTTAGTCCGATTATTCCACCACATCCAATCGGAATTGGCGAGAAAAGTTTTAGAGGCTAAACGAAAACCATGTTAAATCCTATGTGGTCAGGGGCTCGAACTCGTGATAGCGGATACCTCAGCGGAGGTTCCTTTACCACCAGACCACGAGGTCCGGTTCTCATATACAATTATGCCTAAACGTAAATGCCTGGAAATAGTTATCTAATTAAAAAAAAAAAAATAGTTTACGAATGGATTTGTTAAGTGTTCGTTAGATGCGTCAGTTCGTTTGAACTTTTAGTAAATTTTGGTACGCAATTTTCGATAGCATATCACAAAACACCTTCCGTTCTTTTTTACATTTTCAAACCTATAAACCGTGTTTTTGTCAGTAGTGACAGCATGGAACATAATTGGCATAAAACAAAAGCCAAAAATATTAAATATATATAAACATAAAAGAATGTTGCGATATACTCGTATGGAAGACTATAAATCAGAGCTAGGGTCCATGCGGGCTGTGTGATGATGCACCGCCTAGACAATGATGCAAAGACATCAAGGAACGGTTATTATTTTTATTATATTTTGAAAAACGAAACAAAAGTTCGGTTTCATCTAGATTAAGGATGTTCAATCTGGATATCGGGTTTCAGTATTTTGGTTATTAAAATATATATAACTACTATTCTAAATTCATATTTACTTCAGTTTGATTTGGTTTATATATTGGTTTTCCGTTTATTCAATTTTATACCAAAATACATCATTATTTAGTTTGAAATCATATTATATATTCTAAAAATAAATAATATGATCATATTTAGAGTCATATTGTCAAAAAGTCATTTACTAAAAAAATATTATATATTTAACTAAAAGATTAAAAAACAAAAAAAAGGCTTTAATGATCTAATAAAATGATCGAATCTAGAATTAATATCAAATCTCTAAATTTTGAAAATAAAAATAAAAACAAAACAGAAGCATGAAAGAAAAGTTTTTATATTCTTCCATATTTAGTGTTCATCAAATTAATATGTCTTCGATTGAACACAACTCTGTTTGTTTAAAGATTAAAAAAAAATTGTAAAGAATTTCAACTAATTGTTGTCCATCAAATTTATAATTTTTACTTCAATTTAGTTTTTATTAAAAAAAAGATAAAAAAAGATGAAGAAAATAAGAAGCCTCAGTTGCATTAAATTGTTAGTTAATTATATTTCAAGTGATTCAAGTGATTTACAAATCATAATTATAGTTCAACTCATGTAACAAATAGATATACATATTTACATGTTTCAGTTTAATCGATTATAAATCAAACCATATCCAAATCTTACGGTTTTTATAAAATCACATACATTCGGTTTGNATACATATTTACATGTTTCAGTTTAATCGATTATAAATCAAACCATATCCAAATCTTACGGTTTTTATAAAATCACATACATTCGGTTTGTATGGTATATACCAAAAATAACCATATTATCGATTGTGTTAATATCTTTAAAAAATAGAAAATTAAAAAAAAAAAGAACTAATATATTTAAATCATTGATAACAAAAAAATTCAATGTGAAAAATTTAATACGTTTATAATTTATAAATGTTCTTGAAAATTCATTGAAATTTTTGAAATTAAAATAAGTATGTAATCTTATATGGTATATAGTTTAATCTATATATATATTTTTTATTTATTATTGAATGATACTTTTTACTCATATGGTTTTAAAATCATGTGTATCTTTTTATAATAAAAATGTTAAACTATTGATCATTAATTTTTAACATAATAATTTTAATAGTTTTAGTCATTTATTCTTGGTTTTTTTAAATTCAAAATATAACATATACGAAAAAATCTAAAGTTTAATTTTATAGCTAATTTGATTATTTGATTTATTTTAATAATATAAAATTAAATAAAATGGATGGAGGAGATACAAATTGTTATCAAATATTTATTATTAGAAACATTAATTGTCATATATATATATATATATATATTTGTCATTTATGGTAATTCTATATCTTTTATTTAAGGAAAGAAAATAATATAGTAATTATATCTAGCATGACAATCATAAATGCTTCTATCATAAATATCATATCATATAGTTTGACCAACAAATATATCTAGCGACATATAAAAATCGAATGTGGACCTACTTATTTTTCAATTGAATGTAATTGACTACCTAATTGAGTGACACGTAAGCATGGATTCTTTTTTAATTATTACCAAAATTGAGGTTACAATTTTTCAAATGTTTCTCAATTAATATATAGGGGATGTTAAACCATTAATCATTAATTTTTAACATAATAATTTTAATAGTTTTAGTCATTTATTCTCGTTTTTGAAAATTCAAAATATAACATATACGAAAAAATCTAAATTTTAATTTTATAGCTAATTTAATTTTTAATTTCTTTTACTAATATAAAATTAAACAAAAAATGATGGAGGAGATATAAATTATTATCAAATCTTTATTATTAGAATCATTATTTGTCATATATATACTAGTCATTTATGGTCATATATATACTAGTCATTTATGGTAATTCTGTAGGTTTTATTTAAGGAAAGAAAATAGCATATCATATCATTATATCATATAGTTTGACTAACTAATGTATCTAACAACATATAAAAATCCAATGTGGACTTGCTTATTTTTCAATTGAATCTAACTGACTACCTAATTGTAGGGGTGGGCGTTCGGGTACCCGTTCGGGTTCGGGTCGGGTATTTCGGGTTTTCGGGTATTTCGGTATTGGGGTTTAGAACCCGTTCGGGTATTTTTACATATTGGGTCGGGTTCGGATATTTTTAGTTCGGGTTCGGTTATTTCGGGTCGGGTTCGGATATTTAGATTTTGAAATAAAAATTTTACATTCTTAATTACTTAAGTTTCATGTATTTAAAATTTAACTATTAATTTAACTGTTTTTAAATGTTTAATAAGTTAGACGATTAATAAGTTTGAAAATAAATTATTGAAAATAAAAATCATTATTTTGGTTATTATTTTCGAATTTTGGATGCAAATTTTGTTTAAATTATGAAATAAGAAGCTTAATATGCATTTTAAATGAGTAACAAATCATTTCTTTTACAATTATATGTATATTATCTGATATTAAACTATATATAACATTAATATAAATAGTTTTAATAATATGAGACAAAATAAACTAGGAATAAATAGGTATATATACATATGTTCGGTTATCTTCGGATACCCGTTCGGGTTCGGGTATTACCCGTTCGGGTTCGGATATCCAAACTCTCCTAACTCAATACCCGTTCGGGTATTTTGGTACTTCGGTTCGGATTTCGGTTCGGATACTTCGGGTCGGGTTCGGGTACGAGTTCGGGTATCGGATAAAGTGCCCACCCCTACCTAATTGAATGACACCTATGCATTGGGGCATCTTTTAATTAATACAAAATTGAGGTTACATCTTTTCAAATGTTCCTCGATTAATATATAGGGGATTAAATCATATAAAATTCATTAATTCAGGAAAAGGAAATAAAAATAGAATTGATCCAACGCTTTGA